AATTTGAAATGAGAAAGATCCTGATTATATGCCTTACCAAATTAATCATCCGACCTAGTCTTAGACTATGTTGAAGGAAGTCCCGAAGTTGATGGAAAATTGAAACATAAATTAAGCATAATCCCAAAACTTCGTCTTGATCAATTAAGCGAAAAGAGTAATTCATCACAGAAGTAGAAATAAAAATATGAAACAATATGTCAATAAGATCATTTATTGGGCCAAGTTATGTGAGAGGTGTATAAGTATCATACAGACAAAAAAGTATTTGAATTTGAAGATTGGTTGTAAAATGTTCATGTTAAGAGACGAATCAAATAATATATAAAAATTTAGTGCACTTTTTATATGTAAATTATTATAAAATATATTAATAAGCAATGTCATAAGTGTAGACTAAGTTATCAGCAGTTATCAAGAGTTATTCAAGAGATCTAGTAAAATTATTTATGGTATGGTAAATTGTCCATGATCCCTGTTGAAGAAAAATAATTTGGAAAAATTCAGCATTATTTGAAAGTATCCGTTAATCTGCAATTTATTTTTAAATCAGAGCCCTTTAAAAAGGATGAACACGGATTACTTTTCTCAAGTCGCAATCACAATAATTTATTCTGTTGGTTTGACCTCGTTTTCGCAACTTGGTCGGGATTATAGAGAGACCTTGTGGAACTTAACTAGTCCTGCCATAGTAGTCATAGTAATGCCACAACTGTTGAAGAGAAAATTGATCAGGGGGATTGCCCTCAATTGTCACTATGATCAGTCGGAGTTCTGTTTTAAGGATAGCACATCTCACTGATGGTGCCGGCGAAATGTCTAAGAATTTACCAAATCAACGGTTCGATGCTGGAAACTATCATGAACACTCGATGGCAGAGGACGCAAGAAAAGTTATAGTCAACAAGAACTTCCGGTCGCTCCAACCAAGTTGAGAAAATGAAGTTAAATAAAAAATATTGGTTACCTCAAATATCACGTCTGCCTTATAACCCACTGAGATTTATGGCTATATGGTGGAGTGGTAACGTCTTGCCAATACGCGCACGACCAAATTTCTAATCTCATTGGGGATGCTAGTAGGACCCAGGCAAAGCCGATATTTCAGTTAGTCCTGGATGATAAAACCTTCTGGGAGGCAAGGCTAAATGAACTTAAATGACAATGTGGTGAGTATTAAATAGATTGTATGAAATTTAGCTGAGTATATTACTTTAAGCTACCTCAGGTGATTACAATTCTTATTTTATATTTAGAGTAAATCTCGTGACATATTGGCATTGAAATTATTCGAGATTGAAGGTTTCTAATAAAGAAACAAAGCCAACATATGGATAGACGAAATAACGAATATAATTTGAAAATAAGTAAGCTTATGAATGTGTCTGTCTATGAAAGGGGCTCGAATTGAAAGATAAATATGCAAGCTCATATCGGCTAAAAATGAAAGTAGTCGTCAATATAGTTTTTAAGTAACACTGGCGTTGACAATTGTTAGACAGTTACGATAGACTAAATTAGATTGAATCCACATCATTTAGCTGATAATAAAAGATGCGATGTTGAATATGCTATCTAAATTGATGAAAATCAAGTATATGATAACTAATTTTTTGCCTGTGCCAATTGCCCGTCTCCTCCTCCCAGGCCATGCGAGCCAGACCGGTCAGACCGCCATGCTCCTCAGCCAACAGAGCTAAGTCTGCAGGACTGCATTTGCATCTCTCGGCATCTACACACAGGTAACTGGTGTCACTATTGACATCACTAATACCACCGACTTGAGCTGCAGGTAAGCCTGATCCCGTGATTTGATTAGCGGCTCGGTCAGAGTCTAATGCAACTCCAACCTCAGCACAACCAGCAGTACCACCAGCGCCGTCTGGACTGATAGCATTAGAAGAAAGTCGACTGTCCAAACCAACTGGTAGAGTAGCAGGAACAGATGAAGATGATAAGATAGCGGAGGCGGAGAAGGGGGCCGGCGTTTGGTCAATATGAACAAATAATACCTGGTCATTAGGCCCGTTATATTCAAATAAGAGAAAATATGCAAAAAATAGAGTACTAAATAAACAGAAGACAAAACTTAAAATTTCATACTATATTCTAAACGAAAGATGTCGGGGAGATGTGAAAAAGCAACCACTTGGATTCAATTATGTAGACAAATGGCAAGCTAATACCGTGGTGTAGGCATTTTTCTGTCCGAACACCGTAGTGTAACAAAAATCCATTTTGATCTGACCTCGTTTGCGTAACTTCGCAGTATTATCAGTGGAACCCAGCTGGACACACTTTGTCCGAAATCCTCTGCTATAGCAGACCCAAACACCAGCATTGGACCGTAGACTTGGTCCATTGACAGGCACGAGCAGGCCAGGATTCTGGCTAATGAAGATTTTCAAAAACTCCAGAGTATGGCCGACAAGAAATCCCTTAGAATCTCGGACTTGATAACAAAAAAACGGGACAAAAAATATCTTTGGCATGAGAATATGAAACAGCGTAAGTTAAAGCCAGTGAGTCCAGTGGATGTAGTTTTCGAGGTGACAACACCTGATCAGAAAGACAATCGGGATAGTAGTGAATTTACCTTCGATTCCTTTTTATCTCGAGGACACAAAAATCCTGAAGACAAAACTGAATTTTTGCCTTCAGTGACAGAAAGTTTTTAGAAGATATCTCTGTAAAGGTCATCAATAGCTCAGACAAATTGCTTGAAGAGACAAGCCAGGAAATTGATTTCAAAATAATCCCAAAAATCTTGACATATCAAGAGCTAAATGACAACAGATTAGCGACCCTGCAAATGAATGAATTAGTCCTTCAGACGGATTCGAAAGTAATAATGGACTGAAAGAAATAAGCCGGGAAAATGGAAAGTATACTAAGAAGCAGAACCACGTATCGTGTACTAAAGTAGGGTCAAACTATGAAAATCAATGGAACGTAGTGACAGCGAAATCGACGGATAGATGAACAATTCACTAATTAGAAGGGAGGCCAAACTACCAACAACGTACGGACTACAGAAAATATGCAAAGAAGAAAATCTATGACTGATAATCAACAAGTATGGAGTTATTGCTTGGACTTTCATTTCGAATAAAATTGTATGAGGAAGAGATTCGAAAATCAATCTCACCAGAAGACGACGATTGAATCCCGTTGTACTGCAACCGTTTGGATGTTATACGGCATTGAGATTGACAAGTCCACGAGATCTCCCTCTTTTCGGGTGAAAATTAACTGAGCTTTCCACCATCATATGATAAACAGCATCAGAGCTGGGACTCATTCTTGTAAAATTCTCAAGTTAATATAAGACAAGAATATACTTCGGCTCTCATTTAAGCAAAGGAGAATTTAACAACATAGATCGATATAGAATGGTGTTGTTAATTATCTTTATACATCTTATACATCTTTATACTGGTCACCTTCTTTTGGATGGCGGTTCACACCCTCACTTTCAATACATCAATCAAGCATAAGTAGTTCCTACTCAACCTTCTACCACCGTTCCTCACATTCAAATTATTTCCTAATCTATTAATTTCAATGGCCTATCTTAACTTTCTTTTAACCACAGACGTACCATAATCCTGTGTCCTTGTGTTTATTCGTATAACTTATCATCAAAGGTAAAATATGTACTACTTATAGATAGGTTAATAAGTCTAATTATGGAAGCTACACCCAACCTTAGTCCTTGTGTTATCTCTTGATGCTCTTCCAGAGTTTGTATCAGAACTTTAATAGCTTCTTGAACAAGAATGTTTGTGCACATAGTTACATCAAAACTTCCTAGCCTATCCCCCCTTGAAAGTGTCTGCTGATCAATAAATTTCACAAAATCATAAGAATTTTGAACAGAATATAGCCAAAAATAAACAGCTTTATTTAGTTGTATGTATAAAAAAATTGAGAGTTTATGCATCATGCTTTCTCTATTACTTACAATTAATCTTAAAGGAACACCTTACTTGTGAATCTTATGGAGACTGTAAGCCGTGGGGTCCCGTACATCTCTCTTGAGCAATGAATTGATTTTCCACTTCTCCATTTCACCACTACTTGCACATACCTTAAAGGCATCTCTTAGCCCAGTTTTCAGTTTTTCTGTTGGATCTCTCAGTAAAGACATATACGTTTCAGTGTCATTTAAATGAACTAGCATTTTTTTTAAATAGCTTGACTTATCCATCACTACTATTGCTCGAGCTTTATCCGCTTTCATGACGAGTAAATTATTGTCACAAAGATATTTGGATACCCTAATAAGAGAATAGGCTTTATTTTATAGAATTAAATGGTCAAAATGAGGAAACATTCCAGTTCAATACTAGTCCTTACCTATTCGATTAATCTATCAGATAAGCTAATTAATTTAATAAGTATGTCCAGAGAATGATTTACCTAATTTGGAACAACAAAATAACATCCTTTTTTCAATAAAACGTCCACACTATCCTCCAGAATTATACTCGATAAATTGATTATCTTATCCTTCTTCATTCTGTTACAATCATGGTTACTACGACTTGCATTATATGTAAAGTTCACATATCATGCGTGCAATGGAAAACAATCAAACGCCTTAACATTGCAGGATCAAAAGGTATACGTGTTTTAGGAGAGGATGCAGCAGTTCGGTCACAATTGCATCAGTTATACGCTTCATCTGCAGCCACATAACTTAACTTATGAGCAAACATATAGGCAAAGCTTAGGATATCCAACCAAGACATTAGATGCCTAAGTGGACTAAAATGGACTGGAAGCCTACCACCTTACTTGCCTTCGTGTTTTTGGCGAATTATCTTTAAGCGTAGCATCTTGCACTGACGATGCCCGCCCCATGACGGATAAAAGCTCCGCATGAATTCATCGGAAACGCAGGGCAGTGCGCCGAGGATCTAGTCGCACCAACCTACAACCACAGCTTCCAGTGGAACCAGCTTACGAATCCCCTCCACCCATCTGCTCAAACGAAATTAAAGGTACTACAAAATTGAGGTATTAAGGGATTCTTCAAAACCCAGTTTTTCTACATATCAAAATCACTGTCTGTCTTAAATTTTATCAGTCTAAGAGCTTTCAATGCCCGTTCTCGATTACACCACATTCGAGGAATTATAGTGACCAGAGCGTGTGTGCCTTAAAGAAAGATGATTAATGACATGCTTGACCACGGGAATGTTAACAAGTTGTGATAGGGCGGCAATGGAATAAGGCGGTAAAGAGCAGATAGATAGACCAGGAGAGAAAGGGGAGTGATAGTGTAACCGTTTTCGGCAAAACGTTTGTTAAGGGATTGACTTCACTTGTCTCTTTGACGAGTTCGTAGCTTGGTGCGGAGAACGGCAAAGCTCACTGATGAT